TGATAAGACAAATTTGGTAATTTTGGTTTGGAAGATTTGGTTTGGTTTTTTAAGAGATACCTTAAAACCAGCTAAATCTCTCGTTTGTGATAATTCCAGACAATTGAACATGCTGCAACAGGTTGCGTCATGTTTGAGTGGCCAAGATATTCGAGATACATCGTGATACATATATATTTGTAGTGCGATTTCATAACGTCACTGGAAGTTCGCCGACAACCCACGAGCGGTTTTGCTCTTCTTGGGGCTCATCAGGTAGGCGAAGTCCCCGATGAAGGGGTGACAGGTGGCCGAAGGAGGCCAAAGCTGGCTATTGCAGATATTCATTATGTGTGTCGCTGGATAGTAGCACGTAGAACGTTGAATCTCTCCGAAATCAATGATCCGAATGTTCACCGCCTTGATCAAGTTCATGTCGATCTTCAAGCTAACGAAATTGCGTATCACCGGTGAGTAACAAGGCTCTAGGGAGTGCCTGTTGAATTCGTTCATTCTGGAAATCACACTACTCACAAGTTTGCTGAAAATCCTTCGACAGCTCACCACCGGTTTCGTCTGCCCAATATTGAGAATTGAGAACTTCGCTCATTTGCACATGAATTCGGTTTTGGATTGGAAAGTAAGATGTGTCCAGTTGAGTTGCCCGTTTGTGATGGAACCTTCAACTGAATGTCGTGCACAAGCCTGCTTATTATTTCAGTTGCTTCCGTATTCGAGGTACGCAATACGCTGACGTTTAGACGTCATACGTTACCGGAAAATTTGCTGAAAACTCTTGGACAACCCACGCCAAGTTTTGCCCTTCTTGGGGCTCCCGTCAAAACCGAAGTTGTGTGCAAGAAATCTGCTTGTCAGAATATTCTTACTCAGAAATATGTCTGAGAAAATTGCATACGCGACAACCCTTTTAGGAATACTGCCCTATGTCGTTTATTAAGATCGTCGAATAAAAATGGTCCGACAACTTTTAAATGTGGTTTTTCTAACATCAATCGCAGTTGTAGACAACTTTAGTAGGATATTTATTCCCAGTTTTGTGACGTGCGCGTTGTTGATGATTTCCAAATAGTATGAAACGTTTGTACAGTGATTCCGGGATTTCCACCTTAGATTGGCTTGGCTAACATGTCAGAGGAAGGATAACTTTATTGAATTGATAAACTTACACCCCACAAGTCGTCACTCGCAGAGCCGGTCAACACGTGACCATGGATTGTGGTTTTCCGAAGGATGAACGGCAATATATACAAAGTTGGTGAGAGCTAATCACACCACTGATGCCTCGGTCTGGTCAAAACGGTCAAGTGGTGTACGCACTAGTTGGGCCGCCACGTGTCCGGTTCGAGGTTACCTAGATTTTCGTGAGATGCGCACCGCTGATAAATCCCGGGAAGGATGAAGTTGATTCGCGATTCTTCTGAGCCTTTTGGCACAAAATGCATTTACTTACATGAATAAATCTCCACAAAATATTCCAAAGATTCATTCAACTATCAAAACCTGGGGATTATATCTTTCCCTAGTATTGTCGTGGAACGCGCGAGCAATTTAAGCGCCACATCTGAGGAGAGTCCGAATCCAATGCGTAGGTTAGCTGGGGAGAAAGGCTCATCACATACTTAATTGATTACTCATGTTATAGTGATTGCATAGCCTGCATGGAACAACTTTGATTCTGTCAAATAATAGACCGATTTTGATAAGATAACCTGAAAATGAGCGCAGTGAATTGGATTTCGGCGAATACTACACAGATAATCCATCGACGACAAGTTCTCGCATGATGCACAAGTCCAGTCGTATTGAATGTTTACTTTCGATCGAACCTTCGTTTTTATAGGTGTGATTGTTGTTTGGAAAGCCACCTAAATACTTTCCTATGATAAAGATGATGAATGTGGACCGGTATTGTAAAACGGTCATTTAACTTTCGTTGCAGGAATCAAATAATCTTGGAACTGACTAGATAACGTCTAGGGACTTCCTCTGTCTTTGGCAATTGGTAGAATTTTGCCGGGTGCTGGGTTGTTGCAACCATGATGAACATGTCGTTATTTACACAACCACCATCGAGTCTTCTTCTAGTGGGTGACTGGACCAGGCCTTCTAACGCCTTCCGACTTTATGACCTTCCGAAAATGCATAAATCAAACGTTCCAATTAGACAGAAAGCAGATAAAATAGGTTCTCAACCGCATAAACTGGCCAGACATTTGGCCGTTATTTAGATCGCTCCACCGGAAAATATGGTGCTACCTGTTTAATCAGATGACATCCTTGTATGTTTCGATGGGAATTTGGCGTGCTTAAATGTGCCAAAATATAGCTCTTTAGTAATAACCAAGTGACAGTTATCAGCGAGCACACGTCTTTAAAATGGACACAGCTTACGGAAGTTCAACTAGCGGAAGCTACAGAAGCATGTCTGAATCTCACCCACCTCGTTTTTCGACTCAGCCGTTTATACTCAAGAACAAATATTAGCAATGTATTCTCCAACACTCCCAACAGAGACAAGATCGAGAGCACTGATATTCCATAGAAACGAAGATCATCCGAGGCCATTCGAAGAATTCTAAAGACAGCTAAAATAACAGTAACTTTCCAGAGAGGGAAAATACTCCGCTCTGCACTGAACCAGTTAGAGCACTGCCTCCCGGCAAACCGTATCACCGACTTCGTCTACAATATTAAGTGTAACGACTGCAGCACTGTCTATATAAGACAGACGGATAAGGCACATCACATTAGAATCGGACAGCATAGATAAAAATAAGCAGGCCGCCAAGAAACGAAGATGAATACAATGCGTTACTGAAGTACTCAGGGATTGCGGGACAGGCAGTGGATACTGGATACAAGAATGATCTATAAATGCTGAGGTTTCAAGGGGAGGACGACGGTCCACGTCAGATTGACTGGTAACCCAGGTGGGTAAATTGCTAGGCATTCCAGTCTTAACAGAATAAAAGGCGTGGAACTAGCAAGCCTAGGGTGAACGGTTTTCGATCAGTCGACCTGACACGTGTTGGTGTGCGGTCATCAGATACGAGAGAAGTCATCGTTTGAATTCCAATTGAACTCAACCCACCTGCTCAAACTAACTTCTCAGAGTACGCATAAACCCACAAATACCATAAAAATGTAACACTGGCAACCGAGGTGAAACGTTACCCCAAAGTGGGAGGTTAACGAAACCAACCTTGTCGGAATTTATTTGAAACTTCTATAGTTCACCAAAGTAAGAGTTTGAAAACCACCGTAACCGATAAGAGCCTTATTTCACACTCAACGCTGACCTAATGGGACGATATGGAGGTGTTCACTGATGAGTTCCCCGCCTGTCTTCCGACGTAGCCAATTTGGCGACCAGCTCACTTGGTCTTATGAGGCTTTCTTGTCAAAGCGGAATGTTGCCCAAATAGAATCTACCGATTGGTTAGCAAACCCTTCTGAAACGTATAAAACCTCGCTTGCGTTGGAACGTGTTCACGTTCATGCTGTTCCATGCCATCTCATCGCGGAACGCAGTGACTTCTGAGAAGTACAAAAATGATTAAATTATCCATTGAATGAGTATGGCTTTGAAAACTAGGCTTTTCAATCTTGCATTTTTTAGCTGATAAGGGAATGAGGCGAAAATGACTTTTACGCGGCTTTTTCACTGGTAGCATGAAGGTTGACTTTGGTTGTAACATGTACTCTCACCAAATAAAAACTTGTTCATAACCAAACTGGTTCGTAATTCACCTCATCACCGAAGTTTAAAAAGTCAATGAACCTTGTCTACCCTTTCACTGCCGAACCACTGTATAATGTATTGGGCAGGAGAGAGAGCATGGCGTCAATTGCTACAAAGTTCACGTTAATTTGAGCGAAGTCTGATGTACGAAAAACAGTTTTATTTCACACGTACATTTGTGTTACTAGGTTGCAACATGATGTTTTCCAAAAAAACTTCCCCACTTGCGATAACGGGAGCGCAGATACCTGACCAATGCCAGATGAAAAAATTAGCACATACAATGATTTGCGATCAGTCACTGATAGAGTTACGGAAATTTCCGAAAGCTGGATGGCCTCAAAACTGAATACCCAAACAAAACTGAATCCACATAGTCGCCTACTCAAGCATTGTAGGTAGTTTGCAATGATTCAGCTGATGTTTCGGTACCCGGGCACCAGACGAAAGCTCTTATCAGATTCACAGAATGATAAATCCACGTAGAGTCAAGGCTTGTAATCTTGTGTAATCTTGCAGTCTCTTCCATAAAGGTGACCAAAATTAAATGAATAAATAATAAGAATGACCCGACATCTGGGCGAGACAGTTAACCAGGTAGTCACACATTCAAGATCGCACTACAACCTGGATTGAACATAGAAAACTTTTGTGTAAAGTGACAAAACGTGTCTGTATTTATTCGTAGCCACAAATCCTCTTGCAACTGTTAACAGATTTTTCAAGTCTTCTCTGAAACTGGCCGACGTTGGAGACTCTACAAGATATGATTGATACACGAGGTCACTCGCGCTCTTGTTGTCAGTCCCTCTCAAGCAAAAGGGTTAAACTTCTGCTACACCGTAGAAACATGGTTCCGGAATTATGATATCACATAGGAGCTCAGGAAACTTTAATGCTCGAGTCCAAAAATTACCGACTGTTTCGACTCCAGCATCGGTATCTCGACTGGCCTTGTCCAGCCATGGGCTACTTGGCGAATGCTCAGCACTTGGGCCTCCCTTGGGCAAATCGGCGGCTGCATTCCAAAACGGTGCTCCGGCTGAATAATTACTAGTATTGTTATGTTCCAGTAATAAAACTGCTATTGTACCACTTTGAACTTCAGCAGATTATGTTCAAATGTAGTGCTGCGTGGATCCGACTGGTGAGCTTATGTGAATACAGCTTCGCAAATTGAATCTTTTAAAAGCGATTGGACACAGCGCACATGTCGATAGAAGCAAATGTGGAATGCAAATTTTTGATTGGTACATGCACTGAAAATAAGTCCAATGAGTGCCAACTCAGGTCAATTTGCAGGTTAATGGTCACCTCGTTACTGATCTGTCAGTCAAGACAAACGTTGGATTGCAACGTTTTCCGCAGTGACAATGTTTCCTACGCCAATTACAGTGAAACGACCCTAAACTGACTGTCAGGCTAAGCACTCTTGTCATTCTTAATTTCCTTAGGTCCTTGGTTGGGCGTGCCATGGTGGACTAGGCATAAGCTCTGTGTTTTGGCAGAAAGGAGCTCATTTTCAGCACGGGTCCTCACAATATGTTATGATCATTCGGTCGTTTGTTCATTTACGGAACTGGATTAAATGTGCAAACCATGTTCAACCAAAATCCATCGAGCAAATATTGGAATAATATATCATCCTGACCGAGTGATGTCAACAAATGATTGAGCGCACCAGAGCAGACCAAGTGAACAGCAAAA